CACTGCTAGTTTCCAAACCCATTGATAGATGGCTCTTTCCTTTAGCTAAGGCCCTATAATTGGCAATGTTAATGTAATCTTACAATGAAATCGGCTTCAGTGATCTGAAGCCAAGAGTGACGATAGTACACAGGCCCCAGCCTGTACAAGGTGTGGTTGCTTTCCCCATAGTTGAGGTCACCATGTACATATCAGACCCAAACTCATGTCCTTTGACCAGCTCCCAGGAAGTGTCAGTGTAAGACTCTGATTAAGGAATCAAGGACTGGATGTCAAATTACGATGACAGGCTGCCTTCTTCTGGGACAATGGTGATCACGAAACCCATAACGAAGCCCAGGAGAGTTGGGACAAGACAGTCAGGGTCAGAGGGACCTGGCTTTGGAATGAACTTCCAGAGGTGGTGCAGCAAGGTCCTTCTCTTCACCAGGCTCCTGTAACATCAGAACCTCATTAAAAATGTTAACATCCCTTTCTGCCCAGTAAAACTCAATCAGCCTAAAACATCTTTAAAACCAAACAATCTCAACAATTAAAATTAAAAACAAAAGCCCTCCCCAGTCACTGTGTTTATCCTGAAAGGGGAAACAAGTCAGAAACCATGCAGAATCCCACAGGGACTTTGCTGCTGCTGTCAGTTTTTACTGGACTGGCTTCTGCTGCCCCAGTGATGGGTGATGATCTAAAAGCCTATCATAGATAAATGCTCCATCCCTCTCTATCCCCCCCCCCCCCCCGCATGCAACTGGAGCTCCTAGTGAACATGTTAACTGACATACAATTAGCTTTTGATTCTTTTTGAGGAGCTTTGTAAGCATCTTGCCTGAGAATCCCTTGTCCTTAAATGCCTGAGGGCAAAGGGGGAACCTGTTGTCAGAATTGGTGCTTTTCTGCAGCTGACCCATCTAGTTGTAAATTGGGTTTCAGCTTTCTACCCCTGTGTTGGCATTGGCCGTGGTTGGAGAGCCTACATCATCATCCAGTTTAATAGTCTGTGTGGGAAAAGCTGAGCAGCTCTAGGCTGGTTCTGACAGGGAAGGAACACAGGAAGCAAGCTAGTAAATTCCGTGGTAAAAACGCTGAATTGTGTGGCAGCAAGTTGCAGTCAGATTTACAAACCACAGTCTTAAAGTGCAGGGCCCCAACTGAGAAGAATGGAACAAGACCATACCTTGTGGAGTTATTATTTTGGGCTCCCTGCAAACCCAGGGAGGCATCTGCCTAGTTACATTGTCAAGATTTTCTCCACAACCATATGGGCTAGAACCATCCTGTTTTAGAGCGAAACTGAGATTCTGGCTCACAGTTCTTCCACGAGCAGTATATCCTGTGGCTTTATATTCAGAAAGCCGTGCCAGTGTCTACTCCTTTCCTACAACATCCCATCAAAGTTGCTTCCTCCTCTCCATCCCATCCTCTTTCTTTGTTTTTGCTTTTATTGTTGCTCTGGTGTCTTTGTCTCCCACCCTCCCTGGGAAACTTTACACTCTGTAGGGTGCAGAGGAAGAAGAAAGCTCCATTTCTGGGCTACCTGTGATCTGGCTGATCTGAGAGCTCTGAGAGAGAAGCTTTGGGCAACAGGCTGCTGCTGGTCCTGTAACCAGCTATAGAAGGAGCCATAGCAGAGGTGCAGGGTGGCTTTCAGAGAGCACCTTGGAGTTGACGGTTATGTAGCCTACTGTAGCCCTGTTATTATGCCATGTCCCATACCTCCCTGCCAGACCTAGTGCAGAGGGTAATCCTGTGAGGTACTTGGAGGCATTTGGCTTAAATCATTACGTTCCCTTTGCCCTCTTTATGCAGGCCCAACAGAGCAGCTCATCCTATAATCCATTAGGATGCAGGCTTTTCCTACCTCAACACATCAGCATCCGTTTGACAGGACACCCTCCCCCTCTGTGTGTGTCTCTGTGTGTTTTGTCTATGGCTCTATTGAAATATGCTGCTCTTGTTGTCACAGAGCTGCCATGAAGGGAACTGCCCGTTCATGCTGATTGAGTGCCAGGCATGTAAGGGAATGATCAAACTGAATGACAAGGAGCGCCATTCTGAACGGGAGTGCCCTGAGAGAAGCCTCAACTGCAAATACTGCAAATTGCTTTTCTACTTTCCTGACATTAAGGTACGAGAGTCACAGCATGAGTACGCTCAGTGAGCTGGACAGGCAGACCCATTCAGACAGGTGTCTGGAGGCGAGTGCTGGGTGTCCCACAGTAGTGCTAGAGCATTGGAGTGGCACTCCTGATAGGAGGGTCCCATCTGGAGTTAGTAGAGTTCCCGTGTTAACTAGTGTTTGTAGGCAAACTACAGCTGTCCATGGGACCACTACAGTAGCGTTCATAGCAGCTGATGAAATAGACTGTAGCCTACAAAAGCTCATTCCTCTCTGAACAAGTTTGTCTGTAAGGTGCCACCCTACCCTGCTTTCTACCTCATTTCTAAAGATGTTAGGTAAGCCAAGTGCCTGGGAAGTCAACTAAGTGAAAACAGGACCACACTCTAGCATCAACATCCATCCTCTAAGTGACTTGCATTGATATCCATCCCCTAAGTGACTTGTACAACAGAGTAATTGCTGTGCTGTCGTCTAGTTACTCCTACAGGATGGAAGTTGTGTGTCATCAGCAGGTTTTACTTGAGGGAGAGGAGGTAGTCACTGCTTTAGAAAAGAGCAACTCAAGCCAGTGGTGGTGTTACACTGTTAGTACTGTCACATTCTCAGGGCCTGATCTTGAAGCCACTGTGATGCATACAGTTTTGCTGTTGACTCTGGTAGGAATTCAATGCGCTGAGGAGGATCAGCCTGGTACTGTGTAAGTGAGATGGAAGCCACTTCTACTTTGCCTCTCTTCTCGGGTTTTCCCAGTCTGCTTGCGTGACTGCAGTGTAATCAGAAAGGATATTGTGTTCTTATCTAGCCCGCTCACAGGCTGCTTAAATGTACTTGAGGTACCTGTTTGGATATCGACATTAGAAAGGCGAACTTGCTCACTGAGTGGTGGGCTGTTCATGTCACAAGTGCCACATGTCTGCCTGGCAGAGAGTCCAGCCCATCAGTCTTGAATGATGTCCCATGCCTCTCTGGTTCAAGAGTGGGGTGAATTCCTCCTAGGGGATATAATATCATCCCTTTTGGGGCTGTTTTCTGTAGCACTCCTGATTGGAGTGGAGCAGTGGGGAAAACCAGTGGAGATTTCAGAGGAGTTTTAAAGTACTTGCATAGACATTTTTGGAAACATGCCACTTGCCCAGAAATACTAGCTTTATCTTAGAGACATTTGATACACACGGTCTGGTTTCACTTGCAGCATAACGGCAGATTAGTGCTCAGTCAGTACTTCCTTTCTGCCTATCACAAGCACAGCATATCTCTGATAGTGCATCTATGTTTGATTCTATCTGTGGGTGCTCCTTAGAACTGAAATGTTTGCATTTTTTCCTTTCCCCTCGATGGAAGATAAATGCTATGTAGCATCTTTGAACTAGACGGGAGGGTGGAGATTGAATGAAGGGAGAGGCCTTAGAAATGAGGCTTTATTGTAAGTGAGAAACAAAAGCCCCATCCTATCAGATCTTCCATTTCAGATGCTTTGTTGCTTTGAAGTGGTTGCATCTGATTTGAAGAATAGGGGGATTATTTTGAGGGGCAAGGAAGGGGAGTAAGCAAGGCTTTCTAGATGACAAAAGTAGTTACCATGTAAGGGCCAGGAGAGATCAGCCATCCTGGTAAGTATGTGCATCTCTTTCAGTCAGTTTTTTACAGGAGAAAATGTACATAATTCTTCTTCCCTTGAGTATTCATAAACACCATGAACACTGCCCAGCTGAATGGCAGACTGAGTGGTTCATATCTCCAAGGTCTCATGGCAGCTCTTTTGTATCTAATATGGTGTTCCTTTAACACATGGAAGGGTGGGAGCAATTTAGTGAGACATGAATCTAAGTAATAAATACTTTCCCTTTTTAGTTTGCAAGTTCCTAGGGGTTTTTCACAATATCTGCTTTTATTGTGTGTTTGTACAGCATGAACACAACTGACAAAGCTACTGTATGTTTCAGATTTCTGATAACAGTAAGTCTGCTTATAAAACAGATGAGGTTTTAATGCCAGATGGGCAACCCCATGTGTTTAATCTTTCTTGGTCTGAATTTCAAACTCTGCATAAGTAATAGAATTACAGTAGAATATCAGAACATTGATATAAGCTTGTACATAAGAACAGAACTCTTTGACTAGATTTCCATCTTGCTTAAGAAATGATTTTAACTTGGGCAAAATATCCAGTTGCTCAATTCTGAATATTATACAGCTAATATGAAGAATGAGCTTTCCAGCACTTCAGAAATTAAATTAGAAGTAGAGAGAGAAGTATTAGCATTCCTATTTTAACTTAGTTTCTTGTGCCTGGCAAAAAGGGCCAACAATCCATTTTCTGTATTAACTTTTTTCCTCAAATAAGTATTGTGATATCCCTGTGTAACGAGAGGACATACTAGGTATGGTTAAAAAGAATTTACATCTTAAAATACGATTCTTCTTTTTCTGGCTGGTTGGACTTGGGAGACACCATCTAAAAGCTCTGTATCTGTAAGTGTTAAATGGGGCTTTGGGTTTTCGGATCAGCCAGTTCATACGCATTATGACAGGCAAAAAGGGCAAGCTGCTTAGGAGAAAGGCAGCTTTTTTCCACTTAAGTTGCCTGCATGTGTGCTTTCCTGGTAAAGTCACAAATGGAGTTTCCTGCTGATTATCACAGTCCTTCACAGAGAGTAACTTGATTTTTTTAGAATTGCTGAGAGCCAAAATGAATAAGTATTAAATCAAGGCTAAGTACTTGGAAGTGCACAAGGGCACCCAAACACCATTATAGCTTGGAGACTAGAAATCTGATTTGGTATTCCAAAAGGCCACAACTAGGCTGGAGTTTGAGTCATGCTATCACATGAAATGCTTCCTATATTAGAAAGTGTATTTGCAATAAATCATTGGGTCCACTGAATTGTATTCATTGCAGTACCCTTATCAAAGTCATGTTTGATGTACAAATGGTCTCCTCTCAATTCTTTTACAGGCTCATGATGAGATCTGCCCTAAATTTCCACTGACTTGTGAGGGCTGTGGGAAAAAGAAGATTCCAAGAGAGAAGGTATTTGAACATTTATGTCCCACAGTACACATTAGTTGTGGTTTGTATTCTGGTAGAAGATGCCTTGAATTCTGTGAATGAACGAGGGAGAAGTGGTGGTTAATCTGTATGAATATGAAATGGGGAAGACAAAGAAATCCATTTAATTTTAAGTGGCTGCCACTAGTGCACACTGAAGATGTTTCATAAGGCTCTTAGCATGAGCACATGCTCAGTCTGTGATCAGCTATAATTACTTCATGTTCTTGATTGAGAAATGAGTACTTCACATAAATCAGACAATGCTGCATTTGGTGACCACTGTTACAGCAAAGTCCATTTCCCCCTTTGCTCAGTTGATAACCTGGCTAATTCCTACTCTAGAGGATATGGAAAGAAATCCCCTGCTCAGGTAAATGAAATCCTCTACACCTTGCACTGTATTTGATATATTTGTCCAAGGGCAGGCTCTTGGAAAAAGTGAGGAGGCACCAAGTCCCAAAACCGTGATCAATAGAGAAAGTGAACCTCTCTGTCACTGTCCCATCTGGGAACCAAGAGCTGCCTTGGTACGGCTCAAGTGGATGTGCCACTTCCTGGGAACAACAGAGATTCCATACTGTTGAATAAAGAAAGCAAGCAGCAGAATGGACAGCTCCTTAGAGGGTAGAGGCCTCATCTCAACTCCTCTACAGCTTTAACACTGTTGTTTGGGGTGATAATCTCCCTGAATTTGAATTCTGAAGCTACTCCAGCAGACCTGAGTTTGTGCCAACAAGATTCTTACAGCTGATGTCTCAGCTAGTTGCACTTCCTTTCTTTCTTTCTCTTGAAATGTTTTGTTGTCCAGTAGCAGACATTGATCTGGCTTAAACAGTGCTGTTGCATATAGCCCTTGGGGTAGCTTGAATCATGAAGTAAATAAGTCAGATAGGTTTGGGAGTAATTGTTAAATTGATTAAAAACTCTACTTGTTCCCACATTGGCATCCTGCCCAGTGCATGTAGATGTTAAATGTGAAGTGTAATTGTTGCCTAGAATTGGCCCTGGGTATTTACTTGGTAGAAGGAGGATTAGAAACAGGATGATAGCATGTCATTACCTGTTAATACTAGTCACGTAGCATGTGGGAGCCCAAGCTACTACTTGCTCCACTCTGTGCTGTTGACACTTCCCTGAAGACAGCTGCCAAAAAGATGCTGCTGTTCTGGGAAGCATTAGATTTGGGATTTCTTGGGGACAGGGTTTTCTGCATTTCAAGAAGGGATTTTTGGGTGGAGCCAGGGAGCTCTTAGAATAATTGAAAAGACAGCAGGAAGTCCTCTAGTCCAGTCCTCAGCTTAAGGCAGGATCTTGCCTGTCTAACTCACTCCAAACATATGCTTGTCTAACTAGCACCTGAAAATTCCCAATAACAGAGATTCTGCAGCCTCTCTTTGGTTATCTGTTCTAGCGCATAGCACCCTTACAGAAACAAGGTGTTTCCTAATAGCCAACATTAACCTCTTTTGTTAATATTTGAGCTCATTGCTTTTTCTCCTGTCTCTGTGGACAGAAGAGTTGGGTGCCATCCTCTTTATATCAGTTGTTTTGTATTTGAGGACAGTTATCAAATCCCCTCTCAGCCTTTTCTCCAGACTAAATAATCCCACATGCTTCCAACTTTTTCTTATATTTGCCTTGCTCTCACAAACATGTTTGCTGCAGTTAAACAGAGAACACAAGCAAGTTCTTAGATCTTTAGGGCTTAGCTGGAAATGAAAATATCAAGCTGTGACATGTCCTACCCTCTTCCCTGCACACTGGGAGCCATCGTTGCATGAAGTCATTGGTTTCAATACGACGCAGAGGCAGCCCTCGGGTGCAGTTACACAACAAGGGAAAGGGAAAATATGGGGCAGGAGGAAACTTGGAACTTGCCTGGCTTTGTGCAGTTCCAATACGCAGCAGCAGAGCTGTTGAGGGTGGAAATGTTTCCTTGCCCTGGATCCCTCCTTGCTTTGTTTTGGTCATCACAACTGAACTAGGTTAAACTGTACAATTAGTGTTGTGAAACTGGCCCAGAGGTGAATCAGTGCCTGTTCAAAAGCAGTGGTTCCAGCCCTGAGAAGGCCTGTGTTCACTGTGTGGCAGCACTTTGAGAAGGTCTTCCAAAAGTCTTGTTATTTCCTTTAGTTCTGGCTATGATCAAGTGGAAGTCCTTATAGCAGGGGTGGGCAGTTATTTTGGGTGGTGAGGTTTGGTGAGCTTTCGAGGGCCACATGGGTAGTGCTGCCCCTTAAGGCTGCCAGCTCTGTTTTGAATCTATTCCGGGAGATTTCCAGAATGCCAATGTGCCCACAACGCGGACATGCCCACGTGGTTGTGTATATCAGTTATGGATTACGGTGCGTAGACTTTGTCAGGAAGGCAAATGCACATTACTATTACATTTAAAAACCCCACTGGATTACTGTATACGTCAGATTCAACATTTAATATTTATTATAATGAATGTCCTGTTGTTTATCTCACGGGTGACTCTCAATAGTCTTGTGAAGATTTATATCTAACTCCTGGAGACTCCAGGGCAATCCTATAGGGTTGGCAACCCTATCGCCCCTTGACAGTTGCCCCACCCCTTGGTAGGCATTTTGGGACTAGAAGTCCCATCCCTAACCCCTGATCTTTGCCACTGGAAGCCCCTTCCCTTGCCCTGGAAGTACTCCTTTTGGGAGTTGTGGGGTTGTTATCTTAGAGCCAGAAAAAACCAAATCACACACTAAAAGTCAAACACCTACTATAACATATTTTAATTTTATTACAAAAATATTTTGCATACTGTATATAGTGGGGATTGCATAATAACTCAAAAATAGATCCTTAGTCTGGTGTATTGTGGGGGGGTGTCGGTGTGTGTATGGTGTGGTGGTGGGTAGGTGTGTGTGTGGTGGGGTGTACATATGCTGGGGTGTGGGGAGGTGTGTGGGTGGGGTTGTGAGGGGGTGTGGCTGTGTGTGCGCATGCATGTGGGGGGATAGGGTATGTTGGGGGCTGTGGGGGCAGGGGGTGGGTATGAGGGAGGGTGAGGGGTGTGGGGACCCCCCCCTTTCCCTGCGCATGCACACATTCCCTCCATGGCACAGCAGCAGGTGGGGGCACTTATGCCCGGTGCAGGCACTTGGTGGTGTGTACTGCCAGCCAGCACTGCACATCACAGTAAGGGGCACAGCCCCTGCCAGATGGCCTCTATCTCCGGTACTCCCCGCTGTGCACACGCAGCCCCAGCTGTAGCCACCCGTGTCGTTCCCCACCCCCGGCCCCTGGTGCCTAGAGCAAGTGGGACGCCAGGGAAGCCAAGCAGGTCCCTCCGCAGCTGCACCAGTGGCAGCAGCAGCTCCACCCAGAAGCTGTGTGCTGGCCGGACCGGGCCCTTCTGCCCATGCGGGTGGGAACGAGGCACAATAGGGTATGGGGCTGGGCAGGGTACAGTTAGTTGGTGGGTGCTACAGGCCAGATGAAAATGCCTGGTGGGCCAGATTTGGCACGTGGGCCTTATTTTGCCCTCCCCTGCCTTAGTCATTTTTAAGAGCTTCGTTTTCAGTCACAGAGATGTCTTTAAGATACAGTGAAAGCTGTGTTTCTGGTAGGGAGCATCCTGACTTAATGATGTACTTGAAGATAACCCCAACCCTTCTGGTATAATTGTTTGCTTTGAATTCGAGCACTAAACCCTCTTAAGTGCCCAAGTTTGATGGCTGAGGATGAGTTACATTATGTGGGCAATAATCAAGTGAGCCTTGGCAAAATTTCTTTAGTGGGTAATTCCTGCTCTCATGAGGCTCTGTCCATCTCAACATTTATTCTTATGCCATTTGGGTACCTCTGAAAGATAAAATGCCTAATCAGTGCCATTGTTAGAATAAGATCTCTAGTCCTAAACAGATTTAGATCGGATTTATGGATCATAGCTGTGTAGTGATCGTCACCAAAGGGTCGCTTATTTTCTAATTTGGTGGGGGGGGCAACCTTTTGGGTGAGTGTGCCACAAATTAGCCCTGCATCCTTTCCCAGGGCCACTGCGATCCCCTTCCCTGCATTATCTGCTGCTCTGCTTTCTGCTCACTGTCCTGTGCTCCCTGACTGATCTGCTGCTTTGCTTTCTGTTGCCTTCCCTGTATTTCCTGCCTGATTTGCTGCTTTGCTTTCTGTCCTATCTGCCACCTGTCCTCTCCCCAATCTACCACCTGCCACACACACAAGCTGTCTGTGGTACACGTGGCACCCATACTGCAGGTTGGCTACCCTGTTCCACCTTCCTGTTTTTGTTTGGTGCGACAGGACTAGAGTTCCTGTAATTGGTAAGAATTACACTTATATTTGAAGCATTGTTTTTCCTCTCTCTCTAGTTTCAGGACCATGTGAAGACTTGTGGCAAATGTAAAGTGCCTTGCAGATTTCAGGTTGTTGGCTGCGCTGACATGGTAAGGGCCCATTTCTGCCCATTTATATTGGCACCTGGCTTTACTGCAATGTTAGCTTAAGATATCTCCTAAGCATTGCCCCAACCCCACCCCTGTCCACAAGCAAAACTCTCTAGCTCCAGCTAAGTGATACTTTTAAACTCAAGGTTCAAGCTGGGCCAGCAGGCTCAGAGCCGCTGCTGTTTAAACTAATAATGTAGTAAGGCATCATCTTACATCTGAGATTGTTTCTGTCCAGTTTCACCCAGATGTGGGTGTACTGAGAGAAATAACTGTACCAGGGAAAAAAAACCCTCCATCTGGTGAATGACTCCTTGCACAAAGCTGAATACTCAGTGAGCACCACTGGGAATAGTGATGATCTCCAAGAGATGAAAGACATCCAGGCTTCTTGTGCAAGGTTTACCAGTTAAGAGTTGTTCCTGCTGTTAGATCAGGAAATCATGAGGATGAGAAATGGTTCGGTAAATTTATGAGGAAGTAAACAGGAAATTCCCCACAATGGCCTGATGATGATAATAGGATTTAAATGTCCAGCATGCTGTGCTGAGAGCAAAGACCTTGAAGGAGAGCAAAGTTATATCAGGGAGAGCTGGTTTTGTGTGGCCTCCTGGAAATGGAATCCAGTGTTCATGTGGATGCTTTCCTGCTAGGATTTTCCACTTGACTGTGGTTTTGACTGCTGGTGGCAGAGCTTGTAGAGTAAGCCCTTCTCACTGAAGGCATCAGTCACAAATTATTGCGAGTCCAAATAGCAGAGAGGAATGTGGCTGAGTTTTTGTTTACAAAAAAATCAAGTAATTCAGCTTCTGGATTTGCTAGATCCAGAACCAGGCAGCTCAGCAGCTTTCATGAAGATGCAAGTGTCAAACACCTCGCAGTAATTGAGATCCCAGGACTAGGGTTGATTTAATTCCGTCCTTTTGGAGTTAGAGCCAGGCCCCAAAGAAATGCTGAGTACCTGCTTAAAGAAATGTAGCTGAGTGGTGAATTCAGCTTGTACTATCAAGCTAGCACAAGCAGCTGTAAGGAAATGCCAAAGGAGGTTGGTAATGAATGAAAGCCAGGAACGGTTTTCCATCCTATGAACTCTTCAACCCTTGAGAATTGGGAGAGGAGTCATAAATATCTATTTAGAACATGGTGAAGGTTAGCTGTCACTTTCTTGTCATTTCAGAGTAGCTGGAGGCATAGGAGTTATTACAGAGGTCGTTTCCAAATAAGTGAATCAGGGCTTTTTTCAGTGACTGAGTATATGCTTAAAGCATATAAGGATTCAGAAGACATGTATTATTTTCCCAGTATCTCCGGTGACTGAGTTGGTAAAATCTCTTCTTTCTCTACATGACTTAATGTCCCCATTAAGAGAGAGGGAAGCTGAAACTGGTGTCCTCGTCAGGGTTGAAACCTTTAATTTAATAGGGTTTGTGAAATGCTTGGCTGGAAGAAGGTGTTGCATCAGGATGTACAGTCCATTCCCCAGTGCTAAGCATTTGCCGCTGTATAGATGATTATGGTTTTCCCTTAAAGTATCTTGCTGCTGTTGGAATGGTTGTAACTATGCACTTTCACTTTTGCCCTCTGTTAACATCAGTTGAAGTAGTAGCCTCCTTAGGACCAGTTTGCCCTGTGGATGATGGTGCTATAGTGGGGATCTAAATTATGAATGGGAATGAATGAACGTACCCTTTTTCATGCAGGTGGAAAATGAGAAGCTGCTGGACCATGAAGGCAAATGTCTGGCAGAGCATCTATACATGCTACTGAGTTTTGTGCTCAGCCTCAAGGCTGGCTCTGCGGACTTGAAGCACCTTCCTGCCCTTTTGTCACCTCAGGGCAACTCCATGTTACTGACGGGCAACTCCCTGTGCTCGGAGTCGGAGCTCTCCAAATCCCTGGAGTTGCTAGCAAGGTGTGAAGCCCTTGAGAGGAAAACAGTGACCTTTGAGAACATTGTGTGTGTGCTGAAC